CAAAGTAGTTTCGCTTTCACAACGAAACACAGCGTCACACACGGCATGGCGGCAGCAAAAATACTACAGCGAGAATAAAAGTTACGCCTTACTTTCTTTGCGTGAACATTTGGGCGGCGTTATGCAAATCTTCCCACATAGTGAGGTAGTTATGTGGGGGCGTGTTAGAACGAGCCGTTTTAGGTAGGTGTGGCTGACTCTTAACTTTTATAAAGAATATCTCTTTGGATTTGAGACTTTAGTCTTTGCAACTTTACAGATCTTTTTTATGCACAAGAGCTTGTAACACTCCAAAGAGAAAGGAAAAATTGAAATCGCATCATATGACCCCTTTAACAAAAATGTTTATATATATATATTATAATATAAAAAAATTAAAATTGCAGTCTGGAAATGATGACCTGAAATATGAAGCTTCCTGAACTGATAATGTGGCTTATGTGTTTAAATTTGCATTCCTAATTATAATCCTCAAAATATAGGAATATAAAACAAACTGTATTTCTCTCTGTTACAGGCTAAGAGAAGCTCGGTCAAAACGTCTGACCCGTCTTCAGGAAAACAGTGTGATGATTCCAAGCCTCATCCGTCAGACCCTAATGAGACGTCATCAAAAGACACAGAACGGACAGAAGAGCAGACAATCGCTTCCGTTATTACTCAGAAAACCTCTTCAGATAAAGCTCAGGACGGCGGGACTGCGGCTGCTCGCAGGGCGGCCCGTAGAAAGGGAGAGCGGGTGAATGCAGCGTCAGCCCAACAAACACTCGATAGAGCCGCTGTCAAAACATCTGATGGAGCGCAGAGCGCCGAATGCACAGCTGTGCTGTAAGAAACCAAATAACACACTACTCATGCTCTTTCTGCAGTATGAATATTTTTCATCTAATATTTATATTTTATTTTATTTTGAGCTTTATTTCAATTACTGAAAATGATTTTTAATAGTTGTATGATTTTTAACATCTCTTTTTTGACTTAATCCGACTGCTAAAATTTCCAACAACTAAAAATTTGAACATAAAATTGGATAAACAATTTAAAATGACCCAATGATAAATTGGCGGCACTCGCTGAATTAAACATGCAGCGTAACGAGATCATGTGACTAAAGTATAGCCTGTATTACTGTATGAAATGTCTATAATTGCATACTGTGTACTGTTTCACATACTATTTTTTTAATAGTGGACAGCACACAGTGTGTAGTGCACATTATGCATAGAGTATTGAGTATTTTATTGTCATGGTGTTCCTCATTCAGCTGTCTGTTTTGCTCATTTCAGATCATTGGGTGGTGGTCAAATTCAGGTTGTCACGAGAGAAAAAGCCAGCAGTGCTTTACAGAAACGCCGGATACGAGCTATTCTTCCAGCTCCCGCACAGAATAGTGAGTCAAACTTTATTTAAAAACACTAAACTAGTCCCTGATCTCATGCACATGTGCAGAAAGTGAAAATGTAAATGAAATGCGTCTGATGTTGACAGATACGGCCGCTCAGTCTGCAGTGGTGCAGTGGATCACGGTTCCTCCTGATAAAGTCAAATCAGACGCTACTGTCATCAAAGCTGGTGAGAAACATCTAATGATCTGTCGTTCTTGTGTTTATATCCATTGGGCTTCATATCTTATTATCTGTTGACTCTCTGAGGTGTAATGTGTTGTGTTATTGTTTCCAGTGAAACCATCAGCCAATGAACACATCGCAGGCCTGAAACCCAGCACCCTCAAACAGCTGGGTCACATGATCACACCCAGTGCCTTACAACAGGTGACTTGACTTACATTTCACTCTGAGAGAATTATGATGGTAATAAATAAAGGTAATAATAGTAATAGTAACAATGCAAAATAAAAATAATAAAAATAATCTGAGAGAATAATACATTCATAAAAACAACAACAACAAAAATAATCTGAAAAAAGAACAATCAAATATGAGAGAATAATAAAAATAACAAGAACAATAGAAATAATACAAAATAATAATAATAATCTGAGAGAAGAGTAAAAATAATCTGAGAGAATAATAAAGTAATAAATATAACAACAACAATAGAAATACAAAATAATAATAATAATCTGAGAGAAGAGTAAAAATAATCTGAGAGAATAATAAAGTAATAAATATAACAACAACAGTAATTATCTGATAGAATAATAAAGTAATAAAAACAACAATAATAATGATAAGAAAAAAATAACAAAATAATAACAATACTACAGTAATTATAATAATAATACAGCAACAATAATAATAATAATAAATTAATACAAAGTAACAATCTGAGATAATAAAACTAACAATAAAAATAACAACAATAATAATAATAATAATAAAAATAATCTAATAATAATAATAATCTGAGATGATTAGAATGATTTGAGTCTGGTGTGTGTGATACATGGTAAAAGCTGTTTGCCTGTGATTTCAGAAGCCCATCACGGTCAGCAGTAACCAGTACATCATCACAGACAACGGCGTCAAGATCCTCTCCATGCTGCCCTACAAGAAGACAGCTGGATCCTCCCTAGTGAGTGTTCACACACTGCTGAGACAGACAACTCAAGCATTTAGAGAACAAACGTTTGAGCATATTTGTGTTTCTCTGTGTTTGCGATGTAGTACAGGTTCAGTATTTAGTCTGGTGACTGTTGCTCAGTTCTCTATGTATTTTTCTGTTCCTCAGGCTCTGGGTTTGTCTACAGCGAGAGGTCGCGGTCGATGTAAGAATCCCGCGTGTGATTACGTCTATAAGAACAGACACAAACCTCAACACTGTCCGACCTGCGGCTGTGAACTCACCAACAAACCCACCAAGAAGAACAAACTCACTGTTAGTTCCAGCACTCACAGCACAGCCGACAGTCAACTTAAACCAATACTAGTAACTCAAATTTAGTTGAAAAAATCCCATCTGAATAGTGTTATTTTAGTATCATCAATAAACTATTATTTTTTCCATTAGTATTTTGAATTACTTTTTATCTTGATATTTTCATTTTGATAAAAGTTTTAGTAATTTTGTTGTGTTTTTGTCACTTTTATTTATTTATTTTTACATATGTCTACGCAGTTTTTACTAACAGATAGTTTTAATAATTTTAGAATAAGAATCACAGACAACGGCGTCAAGATCCTCTCCATGCTGCCCTACAAGAAGACAGCTGGATCCTCCCTAGTGAGTGTTCACACACTGCTGAGACAGACAACTCAAGCATTTAGAGAACAAACGTTTGAGCATATTTGTGTTTCTCTGTGTTTGCGATGTAGTACAGGTTCAGTATTTAGTCTGGTGACTGTTGCTCAGTTCTCTATGTATTTTTCTGTTCCTCAGGCTCTGGGTTTGTCTACAGCGAGAGGTCGCGGTCGATGTAAGAATCCCGCGTGTGATTACGTCTATAAGAACAGACACAAACCTCAACACTGTCCGACCTGCGGCTGTGAACTCACCAACAAACCCACCAAGAAGAACAAACTCACTGTTAGTTCCAGCACTCACAGCACAGCCGACAGTCAACTTAAACCAATACTAGTAACTCAAATTTAGTTGAAAAAATCCCATCTGAATAGTGTTATTTTAGTATCATCAATAAACTATTATTTTTTCCATTAGTATTTTGAATTACTTTTTATCTTGATATTTTCATTTTGATAAAAGTTTTAGTAATTTTGTTGTTTTTGTCACTTTTATTTATTTATTTTTACATATGTCTACGCAGTTTTTACTAACATAGTTTTAATAATTTTAGAATAAGAAAATACCTTGGCAACTAGCTGAATTTAAATAAGTTGTTTATATTGTATTTTAGTAGTTGTTTATTTTATTCCAAGTTTTAGTAGTGTTTTTTTTTTTTTTTACGTTTTTATTATGTTTATTTAATTATGTCTATATAGTTTTTTAGTACATCAGGTTAATCTACACAAAAATTAGAAGTGCTGCCTTGGCAAATAACTGAAATTAAATGTTTTTATATTTTATGTTATTTCAGTTAACAAGTTTTAGCAATTTTGTTGTGTTTTTTGTGATTTTGATTGTTTTTTTTTGTCATCTTTTCTTTAAATATATCTATATAGTTTTTACTAACAGTTTTAAATTAAGATACCCTAAACAAAATGTTGCCTTGAACTAGCTGCGTTAAAATAACCTCTTATATTTTTATCCAAGTTTAATTTTATTTTTGTCATTTTTATTAGGGATTTTTAATATGTCAGTTTTTGTCACTTAACAAAAATGAGAAATGTTGGCAACTAACCGAAATAAAATAAGTAAATTTTTTTATATTTTATTTTATTTCAGTTAATTTTATTTCAAATAATAAAATGGTTTTATGGCCACATTTCATTATGGTTTTAGTTTTAATTATAATAACTGGTTTCAGCTCTAGTCTCAGTGGACTGTAAGAGGAGTTTTGCATTGTTAAGGTTCATTTAAACTGAACTGAAATTGTGTTTTCTCTGGTTGTGTGTGTGTGTTTTCTCCAGCCGTCCGCTGAGGATGTGTGCTTGTCTGCGGTTCTGTGGGACGTGTCTCAGCCTCTGAGCGGCGCTCAGAAAGAGCAGCAGCGTCACTCCACCGTCAGTCTGCTGCGCTCCTGTCTGCAGTTCCCCGAGAGCGAGAGCGAGCTACAGGATGTCTTCAGCCTCATACAGCAGCTCAACGGCCAGCAGAAGCACACCGAGGAGACCAGCGGATGGCCGAGCTTCTACGAGCCGGCGGCCACGCACTGCAGTCTGTGTCAACATCCACTGCTCAAAGGAGACCAGAGGTGAGAGCAGACTGATCAGACAGAACTCATGTTCTCAGATGGAGATTTACATGTTGTGTTGTTGTTGTTTTGTATTTTTTAGTTCGCTTGCGGGGTTGGAGGAATGCTGGTTGTTGATGGAGTGCTTGATTCGTCCCGTCACTCTACAGCTGAAAGTCTGTACGAATCTCCAGTGTCTGGCCATACACAGTTTCACAGACCTGCACCCGGGTAAAAACACACACACGCACACGAAAATATGTTCATTTGTCATTAAGTCTGATGTTAAATATACTTTTTATATAATTTCTTCAGATGCTTTTATATAAATAAAATAAAGTATGATGTTAAATATACTTTTTATATAATTTCTTCAGATGCTTTTATATAAATAAATAAAAGTAAAAAACGAAAAAAAAAAACTAAACTTATTTAATTTCAATTATTTGCCAAGGCAACATTTCTAATTTTTGTTTAGTTTAACTTGAAGTACTAAAATTATTAAAACTAAAAAAGTAAGTTAGTAAAAAATATATAGATATATTTAGTATATAAAAAAATAATAATATAAATGACAAAAAGCACACAACAAAATTACTAAAACTTGAAATAAAATAAATGTTAACTGATATAAAATAAAATGAAAAAATAAATAAATACAAATCCTTCAACTTATTTTATTTCAGCTATTTGCCATGGCAGCATTTTTCATTTTCATTTAATTTAACTTGATGTACTAAGATAACTGAAACTTAAATAAAAAATGAACAAAAAATGTATCCATAGACATAAAAAAATAAAATAATAATAATAATAAAAAATGACAAAAACAACAAATTACTAAAACTTTAACTGAAATTAAAATGAAAGCAGAAATATGGAAATAAAAGCTCATTCAAATAATTTTTTTTTTTTATAAAAACGATATAGGCATATTTAAAAGAAAATATTTAAAATGACAAAAACAACAAAATGAGTAAAACATAAAAAAAAAAAAAAAAACAGAAAACATGAAAATCAAAACTTACTAAAAATGCTGTTTAATAAATTAATAAATAAACAAAACAAACAAACAAAAACCATTAAGAACACAAAAAAACCCACACACAACAATATTACAAAAATGTTAACTAAAATTAAAATGACATTTAAAAAAAAAAAGAATAAAAATGACAAAACACAACAAAAAGTCTAATTAAAACGAAAACAGAAAATATGAAAATAAAAACTCACAAAAAAATTCACACACACTAAAAAAAAAAAACAAAGGTATCTCAATACTAAAATCTAACATTGATGCAACCTGTTGATATGTATTACTGCAGTTTGTGTTTCAGTGTGTTTGTTTTTCTCAGGTCTGTTTAACGTGGGTAATAAGCTGCTGGTGACGCTGGATTTGTTCTTTAAGATGAGACATCAGATCAGACTGGGCGATGAACCTGCACACGCCGCTCTCAGTATAATCAAACACTCACTGACGCTCACAGGTGCTTCATCCTCCTCATCCTCATCTCTCATCTACTGAGCGTGTGCGTGAGGTTAACGTGTCTCTCTGTGTGTGGTTCAGACGGCGCGTTGAGCTCGGATCAGCTGTCGTGTGTTCAGGACCTGTTCTGCAGCGGTTACTGGGCGTTTGAGTGTCTGACGGTTCGAGACTATAACGACATGATCTGTGGCGTGTGCGGCATCGCTCCCAAACTGGAGATCGCACAACGCAACTCCAACAACGTGTTACTGCTCAAAAACGTGGAGGTAACGGCAATCTTATATTACTATTAATAAGATACTATTATAGTTTCAAAACTTAAAAAAAAAAAATCATTATTTGAAATAAAGTAAAGGTTAACTGAAATAAAACAAAATATAAAAAAATGAAATTTATTTTATTAAAATTTAAATTAATATATAAATTTAAATATAAATAGTAGATGAAAAACTCAAAACTACAGTAAATGAAATACGCTGAAATACTAAAATGATTTAAAAGTAAAATTCAATATAATTTAATGTATTAATATAAATGAACACTAATAGAAATATTTAAAAAATAAATAATAATAAAATAAAAATAAAATCTAATCCAAAATAATAATATACTATAATACTATACTATGTAAATATAAAATGCATAAGTAATACTGAAATAACTAAAACTGTAATAAGGTCAAATATAGCACAGTAACTCAAGACATTTAGATAAATGACTGTTCTTCTCTCTCTGTAGTTCACATGGCCTGATTTCCAGGCGACAGATGAGGTCCACGTTGACGAGTTTTGGCTGACGATGGAGAACGAGGCGCTGGAACAGGCAGCGTTTCCCTCCAGCTTTCCCATCACACGCTTTGACGCCTCTATCATCGCCCCGTTCATCCCTCCTCTCATGAGAAACACCACCGTCATCAACACCGAGAAAGACAAAATCACATCTGACATGCAGCTCAGAGGTACTGAGTGACGAGTTTAACTAAGGCCTCTAAATGATCAACATGATCGAAACTTCTGTCGTCTGATTGATAGGTTAGACTTTTTTAGGAAGTAAAAGTCCTATTAGTATAATTATACAAACGTCCACCTTCAGCTCGTGCTTCACGTGTCTTCACACTTTTTTTTTTTTTACTTCAAATATATTTCATGATGAACACTTGATAGACTGAAGCAACTTAGCTTTACTTGATTATCCAGACAATCAGTGAGTGTCAAATATGATCATCAGGCTTTTGAGGAACATTTATTAGTTCATCTCTCAGTCATCATCGCATTGTATGTTTTGATCATCAAACTAAGCATTTAGAATCAAAATCAGAAAGAGCTGCTGAAATGACGGCTGTGCTGGTTTGGGATGATAGGCTGAACTGAGGTCTACAAACAGGTTCCTCACAGAAGTCCCTGGTTTGTCCAGATGCTGTAGGATATAATGCACTCCCATGTTGACTGCATCATGCACTGACCTGTTTGCTCGATAAGCAAACTGCAGGGGGTCCAGTAAGGGTCCAGTGATGTCCTGCAGATAAGCCAACACCAGTCTCTCAAACGACTTCATGACCTCAGATGTTAATGCAACAGGTCTGTACTGTAGTCATTAAGTCCTGTGATTTTGGGTTTGTTTGGGATGGGGATGATGGTGGAGTGTTTGAAGCAGGAAGGGACTTCGCACAGCTCCAGTGATCTGATGAAGATCTGTGAAAAGATGGAGGTCAGCACAGGTTTTCAGATAGGCTGGTGTCACACCGGCTTGTTTCAGTTTCTGCCTGTAGGTCGGTATAACATGAACCAGACGGTGATCAGAGAGCCCCAAAGCTGCCTGTGGGACAGAGTGATATGCATCCTTTATTGTGGTATAACAGTGGTCCAGTATATTACTGTCTCTGGTAGGACATGTAACATGCTCTCTGTATTTTGGCAGTTCACAGGAGAGATTTGCTTTATTAAAGCAGCACTATGTAACTTGGCGCTCTAGCGGTTAATAAACAGAACTGCACACGTCCCGCGGAAGAACATTCCAACCGGAGCTACTTCTCTAAGTTTATGTCTATGGCGATTCACGCAGGTATGTGTTACTCCGCAGCGGTGACGACCCGACCAGGCTACAATAGTCCAAATATAAGTACTTATTTATTATAAGTGTACCGTAGTGATTCGGAATAAGACAAAAACGCGGTTTGGAAGATTCATTCATGATGTACTCGCTCATCATATACATTTTGCTAATTTTGAACCCAGAAAAAGTTACATAGTGCTGCTTTAAAATAATAATAATCTGAGAGAATAATAAAAATAACAAGAACAATAGAAATAATACAAAATAATAATAATAATCTGAGAGAATAATAAAAATAACAAGAACAATAGAAATAATACAAAATAATAATAATAATCTGAGAGAATAATAAAAATAACAAGAACAATAGAAATAATACAAAATAATAATAATAATCTGAGAGAATAATAAAAATAACAAGAACAATAGAAATAATACAAAATAATAATAATAATCTGAGAGAATAATAAAAATAACAAGAACAATAGAAATAATACAAAATAATAATAATAATCTGAGAGAATAATAAAAATAACAAGAACAATAGAAATAATACAAAATAATAATAATAATCTGAGAGAATAATAAAAATAACAAGAACAATAGAAATAATACAAAATAATAATAATAATCTGAGAGAATAATAAAAATAACAAGAACAATAGAAATAATACAAAATAATAATAATAATCTGAGAGAATAATAAAAATAACAAGAACAATAGAAATAATACAAAATAATAATAATAATCTGAGAGAATAATAAAAATAACAAGAACAATAGAAATAATACAAAATAATAATAATAATCTGAGAGAATAATAAAAATAACAAGAACAATAGAAATAATACAAAATAATAATAATAATCTGAGAGAATAATAAAAATAACAAGAACAATAGAAATAATACAAAATAATAATAATAATCTGAGAGAATAATAAAAATAACAAGAACAATAGAAATAATACAAAATAATAATAATAATCTGAGAGAATAATAAAAATAACAAGAACAATAGAAATAATACAAAATAATAATAATAATCTGAGAGAATAATAAAAATAACAAGAACAATAGAAATAATACAAAATAATAATAATAATCTGAGAGAATAATAAAAATAACAAGAACAATAGAAATAATACAAAATAATAATAATAATCTGAGAGAATAATAAAAATAACAAGAACAATAGAAATAATACAAAATAATAATAATAATCTGAGAGAATAATAAAAATAACAAGAACAATAGAAATAATACAAAATAATAATAATAATCTGAGAGAATAATAAAAATAACAAGAACAATAGAAATAATACAAAATAATAATAATAATCTGAGAGAATAATAAAAATAACAAGAACAATAGAAATAATACAAAATAATAATAATAATCTGAGAGAATAATAAAAATAACAAGAACAATAGAAATAATACAAAATAATAATAATAATCTGAGAGAATAATAAAAATAACAAGAACAATAGAAATAATACAAAATAATAATAATAATCTGAGAGAATAATAAAAATAACAAGAACAATAGAAATAATACAAAATAATAATAATAATCTGAGAGAATAATAAAAATAACAAGAACAATAGAAATAATACAAAATAATAATAATAATCTGAGAGAATAATAAAAATAACAAGAACAATAGAAATAATACAAAATAATAATAATAATCTGAGAGAATAATAAAAATAACAAGAACAATAGAAATAATACAAATAATAATAATAATCTGAGAGAATAATAAAAATAACAAGAACAATAGAAATAATACAAATAATAATAATAATCTGAGAGAATAATAAAAATAACAAGAACAATAGAAATAATACAAATAATAATAATAATCTGAGAGAATAATAAAAATAACAAGAACAATAGAAATAATACAAATAATAATAATAATCTGAGAGAATAATAAAAATAACAAGAACAATAGAAATAATACAAATAATAATAATAATCTGAGAGAATAATAAAAATAACAAGAACAATAGAAATAATACAAAATAATAATAATAATCTGAGAGAAGAATAAAAATAAGAAGAACAATAGAAATAATACAAAATAATAATAATAATCTGAGAGAAGAATAAAAATAAGAAGAACAATAGAAATAATACAAAATAATAATAATAATCTGAGAGAAGAATAAAAATAAGAAGAACAATAGAAATAATACAAAATAATAATAATAATCTGAGAGAAGAATAAAAATAAGAAGAACAATAGAAATAATACAAAATAATAATAATAATCTGAGAGAATAATAAAAATAACAAGAACAATAGAAATAATACAAAATAATAATAATAATCTGAGAGAATAATAAAAATAACAAGAACAATAGAAATAATAGAAATAATAATAATAATCTGAGAGAATAATAAAAATAACAAGAACAATAGAAATAATAGAAATAATAATAATAATCTGAGAGAATAATAAAAATAACAAGAACAATAGAAATAATAGAAATAATAATAATAATCTGAGAGAATAATAAAAATAACAAGAACAATAGAAATAATACAAAATAATAATAATAATCTGAGAGAATAATAAAAATAACAAGAACAATAGAAATAATACAAAATAATAATAATAATCTGAGAGAAGAATAAAAATAACAAGAACAATTGAAATAATACAAAATAATAATAATAATCTGAGAGAAGAGTAAAAATAATCTGAGAGAATAATAAAGTAATAAATATAACAACAACAGTAATTATCTGATAGAATAATAAAGTAATAAAAACAACAATAATAATGATAAGAAAAAAATAACAAAATAATAACAATACTACAGTAATTATAATAATAATACAGCAACAATAATAATAATAATAAATTAATACAAAGTAACAATCTGAGATAATAAAACTAACAATAAAAATAACAACAATAATAATAATAATAATAAAAATAATCTAATAATAATAATAATCTGAGATGATTAGAATGATTTGAGTCTGGTGTGTGTGATACATGGTAAAAGCTGTTTGCCTGTGATTTCAGAAGCCCATCACGGTCAGCAGTAACCAGTACATCATCACAGACAACGGCGTCAAGATCCTCTCCATGCTGCCCTACAAGAAGACAGCTGGATCCTCCCTAGTGAGTGTTCACACACTGCTGAGACAGACAACTCAAGCATTTAGAGAACAAACGTTTGAGCATATTTGTGTTTCTCTGTGTTTGCGATGTAGTACAGGTTCAGTATTTAGTCTGGTGACTGTTGCTCAGTTCTCTATGTATTTTTCTGTTCCTCAGGCTCTGGGTTTGTCTACAGCGAGAGGTCGCGGTCGATGTAAGAATCCCGCGTGTGATTACGTCTATAAGAACAGACACAAACCTCAACACTGTCCGACCTGCGGCTGTGAACTCACCAACAAACCCACCAAGAAGAACAAACTCACTGTTAGTTCCAGCACTCACAGCACAGCCGACAGTCAACTTAAACCAATACTAGTAACTCAAATTTAGTTGAAAAAATCCCATCTGAATAGTGTTATTTTAGTATCATCAATAAACTATTATTTTTTCCATTAGTATTTTGAATTACTTTTTATCTTGATATTTTCATTTTGATAAAAGTTTTAGTAATTTTGTTGTGTTTTTGTCACTTTTATTTATTTATTTTTACATATGTCTACGCAGTTTTTACTAACAGATAGTTTTAATAATTTTAGAATAAGAAAATACCTTGGCAACTAGCTGAATTTAAATAAGTTGTTTATATTGTATTTTAGTAGTTGTTTATTTTATTCCAAGTTTTAGTAGTGTTTTTTTTTTTTTTTACGTTTTTATTATGTTTATTTAATTATGTCTATATAGTTTTTTAGTACATCAGGTTAATCTACACAAAAATTAGAAGTGCTGCCTTGGCAAATAACTGAAATTAAATGTTTTTATATTTTATGTTATTTCAGTTAACAAGTTTTAGCAATTTTGTTGTGTTTTTTGTGATTTTGATTGTTTTTTTTTGTCATCTTTTCTTTAAATATATCTATATAGTTTTTACTAACAGTTTTAAATTAAGATACCCTAAACAAAATGTTGCCTTGAACTAGCTGCGTTAAAATAACCTCTTATATTTTTATCCAAGTTTAATTTTATTTTTGTCATTTTTATTAGGGATTTTTAATATGTCAGTTTTTGTCACTTAACAAAAATGAGAAATGTTGGCAACTAACCGAAATAAAATAAGTAAATTTTTTTATATTTTATTTTATTTCAGTTAATTTTATTTCAAATAATAAAATGGTTTTATGGCCACATTTCATTATGGTTTTAGTTTTAATTATAATAACTGGTTTCAGCTCTAGTCTCAGTGGACTGTAAGAGGAGTTTTGCATTGTTAAGGTTCATTTAAACTGAACTGAAATTGTGTTTTCTCTGGTTGTGTGTGTGTGTTTTCTCCAGCCGTCCGCTGAGGATGTGTGCTTGTCTGCGGTTCTGTGGGACGTGTCTCAGCCTCTGAGCGGCGCTCAGAAAGAGCAGCAGCGTCACTCCACCGTCAGTCTGCTGCGCTCCTGTCTGCAGTTCCCCGAGAGCGAGAGCGAGCTACAGGATGTCTTCAGCCTCATACAGCAGCTCAACGGCCAGCAGAAGCACACCGAGGAGACCAGCGGATGGCCGAGCTTCTACGAGCCGGCGGCCACGCACTGCAGTCTGTGTCAACATCCACTGCTCAAAGGAGACCAGAGGTGAGAGCAGACTGATCAGACAGAACTCATGTTCTCAGATGGAGATTTACATGTTGTGTTGTTGTTGTTTTGTATTTTTTAGTTCGCTTGCGGGGTTGGAGGAATGCTGGTTGTTGATGGAGTGCTTGATTCGTCCCGTCACTCTACAGCTGAAAGTCTGTACGAATCTCCAGTGTCTGGCCATACACAGTTTCACAGACCTGCACCCGGGTAAAAACACACACACGCACACGAAAATATGTTCATTTGTCATTAAGTCTGATGTTAAATATACTTTTTATATAATTTCTTCAGATGCTTTTATATAAATAAAATAAAGTAAAAAACGAAAAAAAAAAAACTAAACTTATTTAATTTCAATTATTTGCCAAGGCAACATTTCTAATTTTTGTTTAGTTTAACTTGAAGTACTAAAATTATTAAAACTAAAAAAGTAAGTTAGTAAAAAATATATAGATATATTTAGTATATAAAAAAATAATAATATAAATGACAAAAAGCACACAACAAAATTACTAAAACTTGAAATAAAATAAATGTTAACTGATATAAAATAAAATGAAAAAATAAATAAATACAAATCCTTCAACTTATTTTATTTCAGCTATTTGCCATGGCAGCATTTTTCATTTTCATTTAATTTAACTTGATGTACTAAGATAACTGAAACTTAAATAAAAAATGAACAAAAAATGTATCCATAGACATAAAAAAATAAAATAATAATAATAATAAAAAATGACAAAAACAACAAATTACTAAAACTTTAACTGAAATTAAAATGAAAGCAGAAATATGGAAATAAAAGCTCATTCAAATAAATTTTTTTTTTTATAAAAACGATATAGGCATATTTAAAAGAAAATATTTAAAATGACAAAAACAACAAAATGAGTAAAACATAAAAAAAAAAAAAAACAGAAAACATGAAAATCAAAACTTACTAAAAATGCTGTTTAATAAATTAATAAATAAACAAAACAAACAAACAAAAACCATTAAGAACACAAAAAAACCCACACACAACAATATTACAAAAATGTTAACTAAAATTAAAATGACATTTAAAAAAAAAAAGAATAAAAATGACAAAACACAACAAAAAGTCTAATTAAAACGAAAACAGAAAATATGAAAATAAAAACTCACAAAAAAATTCACACACACTAAAAAAAAAAAACAAAGGTATCTCAATACTAAAATCTAACATTGATGCAACCTGTTGATATGTATTACTGCAGTTTGTGTTTCAGTGTGTTTGTTTTTCTCAGGTCTGTTTAACGTGGGTAATAAGCTGCTGGTGACGCTGGATTTGTTCTTTAAGATGAGACATCAGATCAGACTGGGCGATGAACCTGCACACGCCGCTCTCAGTATAATCAAACACTCACTGACGCTCACAGGTGCTTCATCCTCCTCATCCTCATCTCTCATCTACTGAGCGTGTGCGTGAGGTTAACGTGTCTCTCTGTGTGTGGTTCAGACGGCGCGTTGAGCTCGGATCAGCTGTCGTGTGTTCAGGACCTGTTCTGCAGCGGTTACTGGGCGTTTGAGTGTCTGACGGTTCGAGACTATAACGACATGATCTGTGGCGTGTGCGGCATCGCTCCCAAACTGGAGATCGCACAACGCAACTCCAACAACGTGTTACTGCTCAAAAACGTGGAGGTAACGGCAATCTTATATTACTATTAATAAGATACTATTATAGTTTCAAAACTTAAAAAAAAAAAATCATTATTTGAAATAAAGTAAAGGTTAACTGAAATAAAACAAAATATAAAAAAATGAAATTTATTTTATTAAAATTTAAATTAATATATAAATTTAAATATAAATAGTAGATGAAAAACTCAAAACTACAGTAAATGAAATACGCTGAAATACTAAAATGATTTAAAAGTAAAATTCAATATAATTTAATGTATTAATATAAATGAACACTAATAGAAATATTTAAAAAATAAATAATAATAAAATAAAAATAAAATCTAATCCAAAATAATAATATACTATAATACTATACTATGTAAATATAAAATGCATAAGTAATACTGAAATAACTAAAACTGTAATAAGGTCAAATATAGCACAGTAACTCAAGACATTTAGATAAATGACTGTTCTTCTCTCTCTGTAGTTCACATGGCCTGATTTCCAGGCGACAGATGAGGTCCACGTTGACGAGTTTTGGCTGACGATGGAGAACGAGGCGCTGGAACAGGCAGCGTTTCCCTCCAGCTTTCCCATCACACGCTTTGACGCCTCTATCATCGCCCCGTTCATCCCTCCTCTCATGAGAAACACCACCGTCATCAACACCGAGAAAGACAAAATCACATCTGACATGCAGCTCAGAGGTACTGAGTGACGAGTTTAACTAAGGCCTCTAAATGATCAACATGATCGAAACTTCTGTCGTCTGATTGATAGGTTAGACTTTTTTAGGAAGTAAAAGTCCTATTAGTATAATTATACAAACGTCCACCTTCAGCTCGTGCTTCACGTGTCTTCACACTTTTTTTTTTTTTACTTCAAATATATTTCATGATGAACACTTGATAGACTGAAGCAACTTAGCTTTACTTGATTATCCAGACAATCAGTGAGTGTCAAATATGATCATCAGGCTTTTGAGGAACATTTATTAGTTCATCTCTCAGTCATCATCGCATTGTATGTTTTGATCATCAAACTAAGCATTTAGAATCAAAATCAGAAAGAGCTGCTGAAATGACGGCTGTGCTGGTTTGGGATGATAGGCTGAACTGAGGTCTACAAACAGGTTCCTCACAGAAGTCCCTGGTTTGTCCAGATGCTGTAGGATATAATGCACTCCCATGTTGACTGCATCATGCACTGACCTGTTTGCTCGATAAGCAAACTGCAGGGGGTCCAGTAAGGGTCCAGTGATGTCCTGCAGATAAGCCAACACCAGTCTCTCAAACGACTTCATGACCTCAGATGTTAATGCAACAGGTCTGTACTGTAGTCATTAAGTCCTGTGATTTTGGGTTTGTTTGGGATGGGGATGATGGTGGAGTGTTTGAAGCAGGAAGGGACTTCGCACAGCTCCAGTGATCTGATGAAGATCTGTGAAAAGATGGAGGTCAGCACAGGTTTTCAGATAGGCTGGTGTCACACCGGCTTGTTTCAGTTTCTGCCTGTAGGTCGGTATAACATGAACCAGACGGTGATCAGAGAGCCCCAAAGCTGCCTGTGGGACAGAGTGATATGCATCCTTTATTGTGGTATAACAGTGGTCCAGTATATTACTGTCTCTGGTAGGACATGTAACATGCTCTCTGTATTTTGGCAGTTCACAGGAGAGATTTGCTTTATTAAAGCAGCACTATGTAACTTGGCGCTCTAGCGGTTAATAAACAGAACTGCACACGTCCCGCGGAAGAACATTCCAACCGGAGCTACTTCTCTAAGTTTATGTCTATGGCGATTCACGCAGGTATGTGTTACTCCGCAGCGGTGACGACCCGACCAGGCTACAATAGTCCAAATATAAGTACTTATTTATTATAAGTGTACCGTAGTGATTCGGAATAAGACAAAAACGCGGTTTGGAAGATTCATTCATGATGTACTCGCTCATCATATACATTTTGCTAATTTTGAACCCAGAAAAAGTTACATAGTGCTGCTTTAAAGTCACCAGGAATGATTATAACAGAGTCCGGGTGTTGTTGCTCTATGTCTGTGATTTCCTCGTTGATTCTGCGTCGAGATCCGCTCTGAACAGCTGGAAGCCTGGCAGATATAAAGCGCTGTCCGGAATGGAAATTCAGCCAGGTTTCCATGAAACACAGAGCAGCAGAGTTTGAAAAGTCCTTATTTATTCGGTAGAGCAGAAGTAGTTTCAGCAGCTCATCCCTGGTAAAACTTATTGTGTTTGAAAAACTAACAAAAACATTAAAACAACTGGAGAGCTCCTCACCGAGGCAGCCATATGCAGCGCCATCTTGAAGGAACAACTATCTTACTATCTCATCTTATCAGCTATCTTAAATATCTTAATAAGACATATTATTGGAGATATAGAGTGACGACTGATATTTATATCATTTTATGTAAGTATCTGCTATACTGTTATAAAGATCTCATTGATTTGCTTTACAATCAGACTTTCATCTTTTTGTCCATATAAATATCAGCATCTGCACCAAATTGCAATAAAATTGAGCTGTTTTTTTCATCCATATTCTCACTATATTAGACTATATGAGGCATAAAAACTTGATGGATCAAATATGATACAAAACATAAAACACACGTGCAAACCTTTTTTTTAATATTTTGACTAAAGGTTCAATAAACTTCCATTTCAGTGGATTTTTCAGACTGTTATGTCATATGTCAGGCTTTATTATAAAGGTGACTTGGCACTTTAATGCTTGGTTTCAGCATTATTCTCTTTACATGTGTGTGTGTGTGTGTTTCAGGGGACCCATCTGTTCTGGTGCGTCTGATCCATGAGGGTCGTCTGATTCCAAATCAGATGGATCTGCATAGCGAGGAGGAGCTCAGAGACGTGCTGGAGAAATGTGGGA